TCTCTCTCTCTCTCTCTCTCTCTCTCTCTCTCTCTCTCTCTCTCTCTCTCTCTCTCTCTTGCGATTTTCCAGCATGCCGCGGATTTTTCGCGATACCACTTAATCTTGGGATCGTCGCGCCAGGAATGTAGCGTCGTCGTCATCATCGTCGTTATATATTATCGTTATCGTCGTTTGTAGTCGTCTACGACGTTCACTTCCGATCGATACACGCGCGGCTGAGTTTACGGGCTGCTTTGTACACATTTACGATGTTATTACAGTTCTTCGTGCGCGATCACGTTTTCAGTGAGAAGTTAATAACGCGCTCGATTGTGCAACCGCTCATTCTGGCGCGCTACGTCACCCGGTGGTTTCCTTTATTACGAATTAACGGACAGATTATAACGCTCACTTCCGTATCATTATTTCTTTTTTCTTTTTTCAGTTACGACGAATCATTCAGGGTTGATGCGCGGACGCGCGGACAAGGCTCGTGAATCTCTTCTCCAGCATTGTTTCATCGCGCGGAAAGCGGAACGATAAAATGAAACTACTTTGCACGAAATGCAAAGTAACGAAACAGTCGCATCGCGGGATAAGAGGCAGGGGGAGAGAGTGCGTGTGAACAAATAAAAATTACAATCGGCATGTCGCGCTTTATCAAAGAGGAATTAACTTCTCCCCGACGGCGGTGCGAGATACGGGCGACCTTAGATAAACACAAACGACAACTTTAAACTTTTCATTGTGCCGCGAGGTGTGCACGTTCAGAGCGCGCCTCGGACGAGAGGGAGAGAGAGAAATCGTCGAGTGGAATCGCGAGGACAACGTGAGCGCGCGGGGGCGTCTGAAATGACGCGTGTTTAATTCAAAATGTCTGCGTTCCGCGCGGCTCATGTCGAAGACAGGAGAGGAGACGCCCGGGCCCACCGTGGCGAGCATGACGACCACCATAGGGGCCACCGTCGCGTCGGTCCATTGTGGCAGTGCCTGGGGAATCGAGTAAATTGGCTGAATTGGCCCGTCCATGAACCGCGCCGCGACCGGCAGATACGCACACAGACAAACCCATACGTAGATGCAGATGTGCGATAGATCCCGCAGTTGCGTAACCCGCAGACGATCTCCTTTCGCCCCGAAGAAACCCCGTGTTTTCGGCCAGCGGTCGTCATGCGTCAAATTACAGGGTACGCGGAGAGACTATTATAGTCCTCTTTTTTCCATATAAATTCTTTTCAATTTCGCCATGTTTCCAGCAGTGCAGAAAAATGGACCGTCAGTAAAGTCTACTTTGTTAAAAAAAAAAAAAACGCAATAAATTTTGTTAAAAAATAGCAAATTATTTTAATAGCACACATTTAGAATATAAATAGCTTGTTAGAATATAAATAATACATGTGACATGAAAGGATGATAAGTTACTGCAGAACGTTTTTCTTTGATTACAGAATTTTACCATAAAATTCTTGATTACAGAATTTTACCATAGATTACAGTAATTTTTACCATAAAGTAATTGTTTTCGTGTAAAGTCGTATGGTCCTTGACACATAATTCTACAAATCGATTCGCGAAATAGTTGCATGACGCTCAGTTATGTCGATACGTTACGGTAAAACATTCAATTATTCATGTTTCCCTTAGCCATTGAAGAAAAATCTCTTATGCCCGTTTCTACCAACTTTGGTTAACTTAACTGGTTGGTTATTCCAATGGAATTGATCAATAATATTTTTCGTTAGTCAGATAGATACGATTGGTCAATTTCGTTGGAAAAACCAGCCGGTTAAGTTAACCAAATTTGGTAGAAATGGGCATTAGTCATTGAGCGCGTTGTAGTTAAAAAGAAATTAAAGTTCTTATTTGGACTCGACGATTCGAAAAGAGAACTTTGCAACAAAAATTGTGAACAACCAAGCCATACCAGATTTTTCCAGAATGTCATTGACTGAGGAGAATGTCAATAATTGGGTGTATTGTTCTAATTTACTCTTTTCTTCTGATTAATTGCAATCTCGCGTTTCCTTCCGGCGAGCGATTCTTGATAACGCGAACGCAGGATTTGCAGCTCGCCAATTCGTCCTCCGTGCGGAAATCTACGTGAATTCTTTCGCGATTAACCGACCGCGATTGCCGGTCGACGCGAATTCACCGACTAATCGCCATTTTATATCGGGAGCTGACGCGCGAGAGGACTTAGGCCCGACTATCAGACTACCGACTGCCGACCAATTACAGCAAGGCGCCGACTGACTGGATCGGCCGACTGGCGAGACTTCAGTCTATTTTTTGATTCGGACTCGAGTCGTAGCCAATCGTAAGTATCAAAAATATCAAAAGTATATGCATTGTAATGTTTGAGTAGCGTATATAAACAATTTTTACGTTTTAGCATTGACCGACTCGAATCGGCAATCGTAGTCGCCAGTCGAGTCGGCCTGTGCAGTCGGTAGTCTGATACTGGCTTAACGAATAACGTTCGTTATTCGATCGCGGCTGAAGCGGAATGACAATGTAACGTGGGGCGGGGGAGGAGGGAAAAAAACAAGCGAAATTAATTATGCGCCGCTCATAATTCAACGGGCGTCGCGACTTAATGCGGTGTACACTGTAAAATTTATTTATGACTACTCTCGAAGACTTCGTTCGGCGGGGGCCGCTTTGCAAAAAAATGTCTCGGAAGCTGCAGTGGCGGAAAAAGGTCCGTGCATCGCACAGCTGGTCGCAGCATGCCGTGCATCAAGAAGATGGAAGATATTAAAAGAAGTTCCGCCTTTCCTTGCGTATAATGAACGGCCGTTGTTTTGCGCATCCATCTGCCGTGCGAGAGAGAACCGACCAGAACGTCGTCGCCAGGGCACGGCGCGGCCCGTGAGAAAATATTGCAGATTTCGGCGAAACGACCGGGAAACGATCGCGTTCAGGACATCCGGAGAAGAATCGGGAGATTCGCAGTCGCGAGATCGAGTCGGAAGCGATCGCAAAGCCGGCATCAGACTAGCGATTGTCGATTGAATTGCATTTGCGATTGGAGATTAGCGACCACTTTATTATAGATTGAAGCAAAGCGGTCACTGATTGAGATCAGTGACTGCCAAGTAGACAATACTCCACTTTACAATCATCGATCGACAGTCGCTAGTGTGATAGGAACTTCGCAAAGAAGAGGTCGCAAAAATGAGAAAAAAAGGAAGAGCAAACGGGGGCAAATGCGCAAACGCAGAATTTCATTTTCCGTCCGATCGACACCGGAGCGCGGAAAATCGACGCTCCTTCACCGAAATCCGCCAGATGCGGACCTTAATGGCCAATCGGCGCGTATTGTCTCGCCGCGTGCGTCGAGGGCGCGTGCAAGCATAAAGAACGCACGACACGCACACCACTTTCACAGCTGCCGGAAGTATACATCTGCTAACGCAGAATCTACTAACCGTGCGGAGGAGATCGGGCCCCAACGAGTAACGCCCTCGACGACAATCGTGTGCCCGCGTCGTTAATTTTACACGATCGTGGAATCGCGCGTCTAATGACGTACGTATGTGCCTCTTTGTCTCTCTTTCTCTCTCTCTTTCTCTCTGTCTGTCCGTCCGTCTGTCTGTCTGTCTGTCTGTCGGCGGGGACGAATAATCAAGACGATTGATTAAAGTTGAAAAAAAGCCGACGTAGCGAAATAGAGAAAGAGAGACAGACCTTTTACACGTGGCGGACGGACAGACGGCGGGGCCCACCTTTATTTTCGAAAAATAGCGGCAGCTGCCCGGAAGAAACGACATGAGGCACGACGTGAGGCTCGTGCTGAACACCTTTCGCCTCTAAATCGAGAGCTCGTGGATCTCGGCACGACCCCGACGATAATGCACCTCTAAATATGAGAATTCCTGCGCGCGTGCACAAATTAACGATCGCGTCGGGAAAACAGCGATTTCTGCGCATCGATAAAAACGCGTGAGGCATACGCGAGTCGGCGCGCTGAGATTGATTCATTGCAAAATTTACAGTCGCGCACGCTTCTACGCGTCCACGACGTGCAAGTTAGAAATAAACAATGCGATGAGCGAAGAGGAAAGAGACTCTCTCTCTCTCTCTCTCCCCCTCTCTCTCCGCCTTCTCTCTCTCGAAATCAGTCGCGTCATCCATGACAAGGGGCGAGAGCGCAGTCTTGTTGTTGATCATTATTAAAACGGCAAACGGCAATCAAGTTTCACGGCCGGAAAGATCGCTTGCGTGCGTGCATGCTTGCGTGCACGGGTGCGTGCATGCGTGTGGCACGCGTGTGGCATTTCGTTTAAAATCTCTTCGTTATCTGCGGCTTGTAACGGGCCGTTTGCACGCATAACTCACCTCGAGCCGCCGCTATAAACGAAGCTCGCAGGTGTCTTCAATGAAGAAGTTATCTCTCGCCGGGCTGATAATAAATAATTCTTCCGCCTCGTTTGTGTTTCTCCTCGCGAATTACCGTAGTTTTATCAAGATCAAACCGCCGTTAAGGCAAGGTAGCACGAAGCGAAGTGAAGAAGACAAGGAGAGAGCAGGAGAAAGGGAAGAAACAATTTATTGTTGCCACAAAAGAGAGATGAAGAAAGAGGACTTCGAGCGAGGAGAAATACAAGTTGATACGATAAAACGCAATTATACGTAAGTGACTGAAGTACGAGTATCTGTTAAATTACGATCTGTTAAAATACGATCCGCGGTATCTCTCTTAATGAATTGCGTCGGGTGGCTCCATTACCGGTGGCTGTATAAGTTCTCAGCGCAGCGTGCAACGAGTACGTCACGTAAGACCGAAGGAAATTAATGAAAAATTCACCTGAGGATCGTATGAGATCACTAGTCTCCGATTTAACGTCTGTAAAGTAACGGAAAACGTAACACTGCCTTTTACTTGACACCGTCGACTAATTATGCTACGTGAGCTCTCAGCATGACCGATATGAGAGCTACACGAAGAAAAAATAGAAGAAAATATTTCACGGACTTCTACACAATATCCACGGCCGAGAAATCAATGTAAGCTACAAATAGTGATGGGTATGAAAAAAAATAATTGATCAAATTAAAATTATAGTTATTTTTAGCCTTAAGCATATTTTTTATTATTCTAACACGAAAATGGTAGTAATGACTTATATGTAACGTTATTATCACTAACATAACAGTAAAACAATAAATTAAAAAGATCATTTTCTTGATCATAATTTATAGTAATTATTTCACTATATGATTATACTTACAAATACCAAACATCTTTTTCCTGATACAATCATATTTCGGGAAAACACGTATCGATTCAATTCGATCCACTTTGAAGCCGCAGCTCATTATATCATGAGCTGCTTCCTTTGTTTCGTATATACCATACGCTTTTTAAGTCTTGAGCCCTTTTTTCACACCTTGCATATGTTCATTTTGCCTTTCCCAAATATGGCGACGGGACTTACCTGTGCATCATGTCCGAGCATATCTGATAACAGTCTAGGTATTATGTAGAAGTATGGATGTAGAAGTGTGGATGTTTATAGAGGCTCGCTTTTCAGTAATAGAGCGATTCCATCACTCTGCGTGGGTCGGCCTTTTTTAAAGAATAATAATGCGCAAATTCCACAGTCCGGCGTTGCGTCACGAGGTCGCACGGGTATTGAACACGTCGATTTTCCGATCAACGTGACCCGCGGAATGCAACGGCCGGGCGCAACGTCCTCAACCCTTTTTTCGTGTTCTCACCCCCGCAGCTGACGAGCGCGGGATACCACCTGACGGTTACCACCCGGGACAGCTGTTCTCTCCCCTTCGCGGGCCCGTGTGCACCCCCTTCTCCGTCGCCCCGCGCTGGCCCAGCGCGTCCAAAAAACACCGAGACGATTTCATGTGGTGTAAAAAAAAAGTCAAAAAACCACAAGGGCTTCTCGTCCCGAGCGGCAGGATGTGTTCGGTCGGCGGGGACGAGAAGAGAGGACGTGAAACCGTCGACGTTGGTTCATCATGGGATCGCGTTGTAGCAGCGCGTATCGCTATCGATTGTCATTTGTGCTGCGTATCTTAGCCCTGAGGGAGAAAAGTGATGTTTCGATGAACGGACATTCGTGATTAAATTTATCGGAAACGAGACATGACACACACGCGCAACGAGATCCAAGGGTAATTCCATGCAAATTCGCAAATTGTGACGCATCCAAACGCATTACGGCTAATTTGCGTCTCGACAGATCAAAATAGATCAAAAAGAAACAGACATTTAAATGGATAAAATCAGAAGCGATATATGGCATCGCGCGCAATCGAGTTCAATTTATGCAGATTCACGCCTTTGTAAGTATTACATTATTCATCCCAATATCAATTTTTCATGATTAACTTTACTTCAAATGTCACAAAGAATCCACTGTCGTAGCAACTGTGGCCGCACTTTGCAAGAGCGGTGTGCGTGTGCTTATCACTACTCACGCGTATCCAAACATCCGTAGAGGCTGCGAAAGCGGCCCAAGAGACAAACTTGCTTCGCGTGTGTGCGTGTGTGAATTTGAACTTGACAGATGAGAGAAATTTGCGTTTCTCGCCCAAGAAGATTTCAAGATCTCAGGATCGACTGTATCAATCTCGATCGAAGACTGTCCGCGATCGAAGACTTGCGTCAGCATTACGTAAGAGAAATGTCGTTACGCTGGTTATCCTTGATTAAAACTTTAATTCTTGCGATATTTTAACCGAGAGTTTGATTAATGCGCGAGAACCCCGGTAATGCCGGCGGTAGCGCCGGCGTTTCATCGGAAACGATTTCGTAATCGTCCTCGATCAGTCATAAATATTCATTTTATATTTTATATACTTCGATATTGTCATGCCGGCCACATAATCAAGTGACCGTCACCATGTTCCTCGAGCCGGACTGTCGTCGCCATTTTCCTCTCGCCTATTCGTCCTCTTCTACGAGAGGCGCCGGGTCTGCCGCGATCGCGCGGGAGGGATCGCGAGGAGACGCCGCCAGGAGGTCAGCGATCATTTGGTGAATCGCGAGGGCCGGTAAGAAAGCACATAGATTCTCCTGGTAACAGCAGTCCGGGGCTGCCCCCGGCTTATTTTCGCCGGACGAATGTCGAAGACAACAAAAGTACCTCGACGGAGCAGATGCATGGCATGTGCTACGAACCGACACCAGATGCCCCATTGGCGTAGAGATCCCTACCGACGAACGTCCCCGATAAAGGTGCACGATTCTTCTGGAGCTTGGTCGCGTGCCAGATTCACCGGCACAACGTTCGTACACGGCCCTTCCAACGGGCCCTCTGCGTCTCGTGAACCGTTGCTACGGGAACGTCTGAAGGGCGTCGGAACAGCAGTTTCTTAACGCTTCCGCAGCCTCGTCGTTTCGCGTCTTGGAGTCCCTCGCATGAAATATACGCATGATACACACGTACGTGTGTTTCCCCTGCTCCACCCGAGAAATCGCGGCTGAGGCGGCTACGCTGTGACGACAGGAAAAGGACGAACGTCGCCTTTCTGGCGTAAACCTCGCCGACGACTTGAGAGAATAGAGAATAGAGAGAAAAGAGTACGTTGTTAGTAACATGCGATTCGGTTTCTCAGCATTTGTTGTTGTTCGTTGCGCTGACTGCTGACGTCACAGAGCTGATAGTTGTCCACACATGTTTGTTTTTATTAGAAAAACGTTACATATTCCATATTGACAGCGCCACGCGAGATACAACATCGGGCGCGACAATGCCTGCTTCGAGAGCGTCTCGGATTCAGAGTTTTCGCGAGATATCTCGACGAGCCCTAATTAAAATTAATCCAAGAGCAACCGAAGTGTCAAAGTCCTCCAAAGATGCACACGAGTGTAGCTCTTGGCGACGGATCAAAGGCGCATACCCGGCGATGAGAAACGAGCGACACGTTCAAGGAGTGGAAAGACGAGAACGAGACGGCGGACTTAATTAACTTAGCGGTCGTTTATTTACTGCGTGTGGTCAATGTTATCTACAATGATTTATTGTAAAAGTAACAATAGTGTTGTGTGTATAAGTTAAAACGATATCATACATATGTACAGAGATTACGCGCTCGTTACCGATCGATCGCGCGGAAAGTACCCGCCAATTCGACGGAAGCAGGATGCCGATCGCCTCCCGCGAGCAAAAAAAGAAGAGACGGGCTCTGGAAAAATGCCCGGCGATTCGTTTCGTATCCTTCGGTCCTTTCCACGCGATCGATCACGACATACAGGTCCCTCCGACAAGTGACGCACGATCGAGGTCGGCCGTCGATCCTGAATCACTCGCGAGGATCGCTTTTATTTCACTTCCCCCTCCGTTCTTTTTCTTCTTTATTCATTAATACCGGATTGATCGAACGTCGGAGCGACGTGGTGCGATCCTGATCCATTCGTCGTATACGAGGAACGATGATCGTTCGTTCTAAATGATAATTCACTGATCTACGGCCGAATAAGTCCCTACCTAGTCGCTGAGCTGTCTTCGTCTCTCGCCTAATCCGAATTATATACATGCATTTTCGGGGCTGAAACGTTTCCTTGCTATTGTCGACACTGTGTAGCCAATTCTCTCCCCTTTCGTGTGCGAGCCGACTCGCAAATCGCTTCGCGCGTAGTCGCCGACAAAATGTAGCGATTCATAAAAGATCATCCGGATGTCAAAACGATTTTTTTGATACAACGCCCAGAAATGGATCGTTGACATTAAAATAAAATTTGTACAAGTAAGCGAATAAATTTACTTCCAAGCGTCATTTGTATCAGGTCGACATTATTATTTATATAAAAACATAGAGTCCAGACGCGCGTGACCCTTTTGATAATCGAAAGCGACATTTCCGCAATACTTTGCCGGCGATCACCGATGCTTATCTCACGTCCCTCTCTTGTAACAAATACTTTATAACACTGCCCGTTCTCCTGCCCGTAAACTTTGTCGCTCATCTTTTCTTCACTTATGATAAACTAACCTAGAAATTTGTTCTACGAGTAGCTAATTCTGATTCACCGGACGTTCTCCTACCTCGTTCGATGATTCTAATTGTCGGAAATCTTTTCTCTTAATGGCTTCCGAAGCCATCTCCCAATCATCGCAGAGGAGCGTCGCGAGAAATTAGTCGCTCCTCTGAAACAGGAGGGGACCACGAAAGGAATCTTAATACTCGATTAATGCGCTCGTCTGCGAGCTCCGCGAGATTCTCGACCTCCTGACGAAGGAAAAACAGCGCGCATATCGATCCAGCGTATGAACGCGCTCGAAATCATAGTTGTCGAAGAATGAAGTCGATGTATACTTTCAATTTCATGCTTTCGACACTCTCATTGAACCATCGGTTCTCATTGAAACTATGTCACAAACTGTATCGGGAGAAAATCGATCCATATCGAAGTCAAGTGTAAAACTACGTTCACATTGATGGTGTCAACATTTCGAAATGTACATCTGAAACGATGTCAACTTGTGACACTTATCGAGCGCACTGCGCGATATCCGCGAACGATAATATTTCGACAAAGGTAAAACAAGTAGCAAAATTGAGGAAAGCGGATCGCTCGCAAATTATTTGACCCGGACGTCGAATACAAATAACGACTCTCGGAAAAATATTTGGACTCTTCCTCGGTAGAAAAGTAAGAAAGCGAAGAGAACCTTGCGCAAACGTGTTCGCGTTCTGTCGTGTATGTATGTGTGTGTAAGAGAGAGAGAGAGAGAGAGAGAGAGAGAAAAAGGGAGATATGTACGATCGATTAATTTAAATAATAAAGTTAATTTACTCGAGACTCTTTCTCCGGAGAACATCTCCCTCTCACAATCTCTCACTCGGATGGGAAAGTTTCTCGACGATGACGACGCGTCATGAGAGAAGTAATCTGTAATAATCGTTCACTACCTGGATCCCGGAGCTTCATCGATCGAGTCAATCCAGAGCCAGGTTCATATCCTGCGACTTGGCTTCCGTGTAGCCGGTGTGCTGAGCGAAAGCCCGCTCCCTCTGCAGATCCAGGTGATTCTTCATGGCGACGACCGTGGGATGATGAAGCGGCAGACCCTCGTCCTCGACGAGGTATCGGAGCGCCTCGTTGGCGCAGGCGTCCCATCCAGCCGTCCAAGAATCGGTATCCTGCTCCTGCTGATGAGCAAAGTACTTGCCAGGCTGCGCAGCGTCCTGGTCTTGCGTTCTGAGACGCTGATCGAGACACATGTAGCCGGAGAAAGCGTGACTCGCCGTGTCCTTCGGCTCGAACGACCGGCTGTGCAGCGGCTCTTGGCGATCTTGGCAGAAGCCGTCGAAGCTCAGGAACTTGGTGCGGCCGACGGTGCTCCGCTCGTCGAGTAATTGCTCGCTGCGGGCGAAGAAGTCGACCTGATGATGAACAGGCGCGACCACTTTCGGCTCCGCTTGGTCCTGGAGGCAACCGCGCTCGAGGTAGCTCGTGTCCTGCAGCATCTCCACGCTGCGCGTCGGACTTCGATGCGCCGTTCTGCCAGAGGTGGACGCGACGGACCGTGTGCTGGAATACTTGAGCTCCTGGGCGAGGGAAGCCGCGAGGTGATGTAGCAACTTGGTGTTCCCCGTCTCCTCGTCGTCGTCCTCGAGCTCATCGATGTCCACTTCGACACCCTCATCCTCGGACGAAGATACGAGATCGTCGTTGTCGCCGTCGTCCACGCCTAACAGCGTCAATAACCGTTCGGCGGCATCTGCGCAATGTTGCAAACGGCAAGAGATTATTTGCCAATGCGGGGGATCGACTTGGGGATTATAAGACGGCTCCCTTTCGGAGGGAGGATATTACTCGTCGGCGAGAGGATAAATCGATCTCAGGCGGATGGAAGTACTCGTAAATAAAAGCCCAACGACCGGGACACGGACCTAGGATAATCCACGTACACGAGACGAAATTGATATTTAAGACTAATAACAGGTTGTTATCGACATAATAACGGAGGTCGTGTCGCTCTCAAATTACGTCGCTTTGTTACATTCGAGCCGGTGCCTTGTAATCTTCAATCTTCATCGTCGGCTCGCATAAAGTACATCGTACTCGCGCGTATCGAGAACATGTCGGGATAAGATAAGGCGGTTACAGAAGTCCGTTCTGGGAACGTTCGTCGGAGGGGGCGATTTCACCCTGCGCGCTGCCGGGGGAGGGGCTGCCTCGTTAAGTCCCGCCGGATGTTGGGCATTGAGATTTCTCCCGAAAAGGAGAGACGTCGCAGATGCGCCTCTGTCGCGATAAAGGCCCACGACGACGAAGTCGTCTCGCGCCGAATCAACGACAATAACTGGGAGAGAGAAAGAGAAAAAGAGAGAGAGTGAAAAAGAGAAACCGCGTTATTGTAACAACCGGACTAGATTCGATGAGCCGGCTCGGTCCTGTGGGAATCCTGCCCCATAAACGTCCCACGGGAACTACCTGTCGCGCACTACCCGAAACCCATCCCGTCATATCCGTCCTTCGAATCGCCGAATTTCGCACGAGTCTCTCCTCTTTCTCATCTCCCTCGTCCGCTCGCGCGCGCGCGCGCGCGCGTGTGTGTGTATATATGTGAGTGCGTGGCCGCTTCACGTGACGGTGTGTCGTGTACATGCACTCTACTCGCCGTTCGCACACCCTTACGCGAGCGGAAAGGTCGCCCGACGAGGGTAACTTCGATATACCTGTTCCTGGGAACGGGAGCGATTTCGATCGGTAGGTGGCGATCGATTAAATTATATGTTCGAGTCCGGGGCTCCAGTGAGAAGATATCGCGGTACGCAAGGCGATAATTAAAGTTGTAATTATGCAAATTTTGATCGAATATATTGCAAATATAATTACTTGTGTTGATGATGAAATAACGAAGTGCGCGTTCGAAAAGTTATACGAACTGTTTGCCTCGCGAATAGAGAGTCGGCGAATTTTCTCGATGATGCGACAAGAGCCACGAATTTTTGTAATTAACGCGATAAAAATCGTGTACTTGAAACGTGATTGACGATTTTGTACTGAAAAAAAATACTTGAGAATTTATTTGTGGAATACAAAGTGCATTTCTGTGTACCTAAATTTTATCTAAATTTAGGTATCTATAAATAATACCTAAATTTTATATCCCACAAATGAATTTTTAACTGTCAAAAAAGTCAAAAAATATTTGTATGTGTGTATACATATGGACAAATTATACCAAACGTACGCGTTATTCCCACACTTTTTCTTCGACATTGTGAGTGCATTCAATCGTTCGATTTTTCAGACAGGCAGGCGTACGTTACGAGTCGTGCCTCTCTCTCATTCTTTCTTCTTGACGGTAATAGAAAAGTCTGGACCAGTCGAGAGCGAGTTCGTTGATTCTTCTTTTTTCGACCGTCTCTCTCTCTCTCTCTCTCATTCTCTCTTGCTCCCCACCTTTCTCTCCTTCCCCAGAAGATGCTCTAATGCGACTCTTTCTGCCGGACGTTCCCACAGGGATACCCGCATTTAAATGTCCTGTTTCACTACAGTACCTAGCGAGACGGTATTAGATTGAGTTAGGTTAAGCGACGATTTAAAGGGACTGAAAGGCGTCTAATGAACGAACCGCGCGCGCGAATCGTTTGTTTCTAGGGAAAAGCTAAAGAGGCCATAGAAAATGACAAAAGCTACAACGACATCGCCATCGATATTAAAGACTCGCTGAAAATGTAATGAAATGTAGCACAAAAAATGCTAAATAATCTGATAAATTCCCGTTAAAAACCGGCGCACAAAATGTCGCACAATGCGTATTCCCGTTATTTCGTTTATCTTACGAACAAACAATTATCCCCCCGGCCAAAATGACGAGGTTATTTCGCACGGACACTTGAGCGTGACTCATGATAACCACAAAGCGGCCAAGTGCTCGTCGTTCATCCTCGATAATAATACGGCGTGTTATCGCGCGAAACTATGTATATAGCGAATTAACTTTTATCAGCCGATCGCTCGACGTCATCGTGACGACCGTAAATTTGTTTACATCCGCTTTTACGACTCGCGTTACGATTTATATTATTCGACGATACCGTCTGAAATTGCTCCGCCGGGGGAGCTCATAATTCTCGCCGGTGAATGGAAATTCCTGTAGCTGTACGTACACAGCAGAATGCCTGGCATTAGCATAGAGAATTCATATTTCAGGAGGATCGGCCAAACGACCATAAGCGGTGACGCGAAGTTATTTTCCTGAGCGATACACGCGCGCGCTCGACTTATATATTCCGTGATTAACGACGCCGACCTAATAAATTTTAATGGCCCACTCGCAACGCGGGAATAAATACGGGTACAAAGTTGCGCGCTCGCGCTATTACGCGGACATCCGCGTCATTTGTACCTTAGTAAAAGTTTTAATCGGTCCGAGACTCACGAAGATCGCGCCGCTCGGCGAGTTAATTGAACAGCATTTTATACAAATAGCAGCGAACTTTTACGCATGAAAAGCGAAAAGCGTAGGAGAAGACATCGCGGTACTTATTATATTTAATTATTTTCGCGTCACTCTCCTTATGCGTTACATATACATGCATATTTCACCGCTAGTAGAATCTTGCTAAAAATGGAACGACAGATCCGCGTGCTCAATTACTACCTATCCATCGTCGGAAATTCGCTCCGTGATTCCTACTCAATCGTTAATTACGTCGCATTCGCGCCTCCAGAGCCCCGGCGTATCGCTGGGAAATGGAAAAATTAGCGTGAAAATTCTCACGCTCGTCGAGAGCGCCGAGGGAAAAAGGCAGCCAGCTCCCGGCGTTATTATAGGAAACACGGCCGAGACATTTTTCAACGGGTACGCGCGAGCTAGGATTTTCTGGGGCGCGAGAATCCTGCCGGGGGTAGCGCAGGTACGCCCTTACGACCGTCGTAAAACATTTCCACTTTGCGTCGGTGCTTTAAAGGGAAGCCAAATTTCTCGTATTCGCGAGCGAACTCGACCCGACTCCGTCCCGCGGGAAACACGATAGAACCGTGAATACCCAGGAAGAAGAGGAAGAGAAGGAGGAGGAGGATGGAGGACGCGGGTATGTGTGTACGGAGATATGTGCATGCTCTACGACGTAATTAAGCAACAATGTAATCAGGAATAATCAGAGGGAGAACTGACGCAACGCGCAAACGTAATTATCGTGGCGCTCGTAATCCGCATTATGCATGTTTCAACCATTAAAGCCCGTCGCACGTGCGCAACGTATCATATGCACATTATGTTATATCCACATAAATCAAAACACAAAACAGACACAAAAGTACGCACTGGCGAGTAAGCAAATCATGAATCGCGTATTATTACTTGAATTCCGAGTCGAGAAAAATTAGTTAATCGACCAAACGAAAACTTGTAATTACGTGCACGACATCGCTGGAGATATCGTATCAAATTACGGAGATTACCGTAGTTCAGTCACCATGATTTGTTTACGAGGCCTGTGCTTAAGGAAGTTTTAAGACTCAGTGCCGTATTGTCAGTGACGCATCAGGGCATTCATAAACTTACTTATTTATCGAACAAAATTACATTTATAAGTTATTTCTATTTAATATTTAATATTTAATATTTTATTAAAATTACATTTATAAGTTATTTCTATTTAATATTTTATAATTTCGAATAAAGTTGAGATAAATGTATGCACATATCACAAATACGAAAAATATTCTTTTGTTTTTTTTATTAATGCTTTATTTGTCCATCAGTTAATCTAATAGAGATGCACAGATATTATAAAAAGAAGTGTTTAAATAAATAAAATAAAATAATGTGTATACGTGTGTATCACGCAAGTATTACTATAGATTATAAACTTTTCATTGCTATATTTTCCAAACAAAACCTTTTTCAGTAACTGAAATTTGTATATAATGTCGATACATTAGTCTTCTATCTTTAATATTGTAGCAGTTTCGTTAAGATTCTAATCTTAGAGAGAGTTTATAAGAAATTAAAAATAGAAATTAAAAATAGCACGCCAGAGGGACACGTATAATAAAGTGACAACTTTAGTTTGAAATATCTCAACTCTCAAATGACCAAACTTTTTCTAATTGCACAGCAGTTAAATAATACTTCACTTTATATGCAGAGCAAGTTTCAATGAACTCTTGACAAATTCATTTTGTCTTACAACCTCCTTAAAGTCAAATAAGAAGTAAATTACCTCGTATGGTGGGCGAATTATCCGTGATATCGGTGGCCAAGTCGACGAAGTCCTCCAAACCTCCACCGTCCCCTCCGCAATCCATCATTGTGTCCTGAGCAAAAGGATGGAGGGAAAAAAAAGATCTCTTCTGTGAAGTTGTTACAGCAGCCAAGCCCGAGAATTGGCAGATTAAATGGGGAAAATCTCTCTCTCTCCCTCTCTCTCTCTCTCTCTCTCTCTCTCTCTCTCTCTCTCTCTCTCTCTCTCTCTCTCTCTCTCTCTCTCTCTCTCTCTCTCTCTCTCTCTCTCTCTCTCTCTCTCTCTCTCTCTCTCTCTCTCTCTCTCTCTCTCTCTCTCTCTCTCTCTCTCTCTCTCTCTCTCTCTCTCTCTCTCTCTCTCTCTCTGTCACACGTCACACGGCCATTAGTCTGGATCGGGAGCTCGGCGGGAATTAATCAGTTTATTGTTTAAAGCGCGACTGTATCGTTTAAAGCGGGATTGAAACGCCGCTTGGAAAAAAGCTTCTCGCGAATTATCCAAGCCGCCAGTGTGGATCGTTGATACATGCGTATATATATATAACGCGGCTCGGGCGCGGGATATGAAAATTTATTCGCAGACGCGCGGAATTTAATTAAAAGCACGCACCACCGGCGGCTCGCGCGAAGTGCGAGCGGGGGAGATATTATAATCGCAAAATAAATAATCGCGACAAAATACGGTGTGTGTTTTAATAATATCAGCCGGAAGTTCGTCCGGTGAGAGGGGCTCAAAATTCCAGCGCGAGAGTCAATTTTGCAGCGAGCACCAGCGTTGCCGTTAAGCGTCGTGAATTATTGCTAGTGGTCGGTAACTGTGGCGTTATTAATGCCGCCGTTTATGTAACTTTCGTGCGACGTCGCGCGCATTAACGACATTCGGCCCAAGTCTGCCAAGCCGCCAATTTGCCGCGAAACTTAGTAATTCGCGAGGAAGCGCTGTTAGCGACGACCCGATCGAGAAAGACTTTCCCCGAAATAATTGCCGTTCGCGCGATAATACGATCGCCCCTAAGGATCGCGACGATTTCTCTCTCCTGCGGTAATGAGCCCTTCGCTCTCAGAATTAACAGACACAAACGTGAACGCGACGTGAAAAGAAACTGAACCTTCAACTAAACGTTATATTTCTTTGCCTCTTTTTCCGCGATTCTAAATATATTTTTATTGCTCTAAAGCTCCGCGTGTTCTCCGTTATATGTCCACCTGTCGTAAAGTATCCATCGGTTTATCACGAGAATTCAATCCACTTCGCGTCAATACTCCATTAAATAATAAATCACGATTGCAGCAACATACAGCACACTAATTTCTCGAACTTTAACTTCGCCATGCAACTGAATATCCTAAAAATGTCTCGAGGACATCTCAAGAACGACCTACTTTTCAGATGTTTTTTTGGAAAATTCTGTTATCTATGGCCTTCATTCTGAATTCTTTTATCGATAAAAGAGTCCATAAATGTGCTTTAAGAAGGTTTAATTACATTTAGAGGCACTTATTAATCGATAAAGAGAATTCAAAATAAGTATCTAGGTCTACACATTGGAATTTTCAGCTACATTGATTACACTTGCACAACAGTTTGTCGTTCTGCAACGGCACATCGTGCACATATGGTGCCATGGATGCCATATCATTTTCTAGATCAAAAGATTGTACGATTTTATATATACGATGCAATGGGTTACAACTATTATAATGACAAAGCTATTATAACTCTACCTCTCATAACTTATTTATGCAGATTTCAATCTCAAGCGTGTAATTCTCGATCTAGGTTAGGTTAAGTTATGACGTGGTATGTGTACCTATTCTTGCAACCGTTACACGCGTCGTTTGGATTCGCGTCTTCTAATCGTCCACTTAACAATAAAGAACGCAGTAACGGTTCCATCAACAATAAAACTCGCTCCCACTTTAGCACTGTTCATATTCCACGATATAATAACCGTTCGGTCGATCGTAGTACACTGCCGTAGTACACTTTAAGAACCATAGACTGGAGGCGTGGGAGCGAACTTTATGAGCGACCTTGGCTCTTCGTAAAATTCCGAAGATTCTTGCTAACCCGACAGAAGAGACGAGCGACCTGGCGCGTGGTAAATATCCCTCTACAACCCCGTTGACCCAGTGACCGGCGATAAATACCACAAACACAGTTACGGTATTATCATGACGTTCTGTGCACCTTTGCTTCGGTAAAATGCAAAACGTGTCTACACCGATTTTCTGTGAAAGAGAAGAGAAAAGAATACAACCTTGACCAGACACGAGACGAAGATCTCATGCGCGCACGACGCAAAGGGTACGCACGGACTCTCTTGAGAGAAAAGTGGAGGAACTCGACGGGGTTTCGGCGGCAGCCGGTAAAGGAAGAACACGCGCGATTCGCGTGCGGTCGCCACGCCGTGCCACCTCGAATTCCTTCGGAACGGGTGAAAGCAAACGTGGAGAAAGTTCGCGAATGAGTTGAGATGATCGCGCCGGCCGGGGACCTAAGGACGGAAATTGCGCCGAAACGAAATGACATGGACGATCATCGACCACCGCGACGACGCTCGCCCACGAAGAAGCGATTCATGTCGACTTCCATTACGACGTGCAGGCAACAATCGGGATCTTCGTGCAGTAACTAACGTCGTTCTGATGCCTATGATAGAATCATGATGCATAGGTCGTTCAGAAAATGCACAGAAAAAGAAAATTTCAGTTCGGATAATTGAATGGAGGCTAGACGAAAAACTTACTGAGAAGTAAATAATATCTCTGTCACTGTGACCGAAAACATTCGTCTGAACGTTAAGCTTCATTAATCCTAGGACGCCAAACATGGGTAAAAAATTTATCCAGACCAATTTTTCCGAGATTATCATTCCTGAAATTCGCGTAACTTTTTGATGTTTAGGGTTATAGCGTTAAAACTGAGTTGAGATACCTGAAAGCAATTGGCTGAATAGAAAGTTCCTTGCAGTTGAATAAGAACCTTTCTATTTCTACATCCGAATTTTTCCTCTGGTCCCCGAGTAATAGAAAATTCAGTTACACTAACAGAGTTATTTTTTCTGTGCACGTGGTCTAATTAAAAAGATAACAGAAATTTAGCCAAATCTTCATTACTATATTTTAGAATCATCCTTTACTAAATTAAGTGTGACAGTAAAGAGTGATTTGTCGTTTAGTCTTTGTTTAACGTTGCGTCGAACGCCTTATGTGTCGCTGTGCGTTCATTGCTTTGGCTGTCGCCTTGTCTTCGCCTTGTCGCCAGAGTGAAGTTGAGGTTTTATCAAGGCTAATAAATCAGTGCTAAAAATCCTTCAGATTCTGGCGAAATCGTGCAGAAAAGTGCGAGCAACAATGAAACCGTTCAACTTAGTCTTTGCTGGTGTAAGGACCCATCGCTCGCAGAGTACACTTTGGCGCACTGTCAAACAAAGACTAATCGACAAAGACACTCTATATTGTTATAAATAATCTAATAAAGGATGATTCTAAGATACGGTAATAGAGATTTTGCTAAATTTATTTAGCTCTATATGGCCATTGTATGGTTACTTTTTTAACGACCCGCGTGGAATTAAGTGTGACAAGCACTGTAACGAGTATGCGGCAAATATTCCTAAATTAACGTAATTACAGAACACACGAATCGAGCGAGACGACAGAACGAAGCGCTCGCAACAGCGTAGCGCATAAATTAACGGTTAATGCAAATTAATATGCAGCGACATGACGCGCGGGACTTGACGCGAACGGTCACCCCGATCGCGATTACGATCGGTAACGATGCCGAGAAGTACCGAGAGCGAAGCGCGACCTGATCGTTCCTGATTGGGACTTGGTCTCGCACGTCGCACGCTAATTATCGCCATCGCGGCAAATCATAGCCCCGACGACGCGAAGTTATGATACGCCGTTATCGATGCACTCGCGGCTGCTCTCGCCGCTAATTGCATCGATATGGAAATACATTGAAAGGAAACGAGCCTGGAACGCGTTCGAGAGACGCGGGCATGGTTCTCGTCGGGCGCGTCCGCAGGATTGGGGGCGAGCCTGATCGCCTGGCGTAATCGATGTATGCAAACGAGTGGTTATTGTAAATTTCCGCCGTTAGGGGTACGCTTTCTCCCGATCGGCGAGAAGATAATCGGGAAGTCGACGCCATCGAATCCGTAATGCGACCGCCGAAATGTGCCGAGCTCAACTCCGGATCTGATAAAGCCCTCTCCTGCCGATTCCTTTTTCCCTCTCCCTCACTCTCACCCTTTCTCTCTCTCTCTCTCTCTCTCTCTCTCTCTCTCTCTCTCTCTCT